TCTATTTCTCTCCGATAGACGAAAAGGGGCTAGACACACTAGCTGTGGAATCCATTGCAGTCCCCAAACAGAACAGGTAGAAGGTCGTCTGGAACAGGAGCATGATAATGCTTGAGTAAAGACACTTCTGAGGCTTAAGGGACTCCAAATTTACAGACCATATTTCTGTTAAAGGCTGATAGTCCGGATTGGAAACAGCAGGTGACCAACTGAATTGTTCCAGGTATTGTGCAAAAAGGCCCAACCGTCCTCCTTTGCTGGACGTCAAAGAGCCTTTTGTCCCCTGATGATTCCACTGATGAGAGGCTTCCGAGGACCAGTTGACCGACCTAGGTGGAAGGGCTTGCGGACGTTTGCAGTTTTTTCTCTTCTTCCGTTTCTTCGAGTTTTTGGGTCCAACAGGCTTCTCGGTTTTCATGGACACTCAATGTCGCGTGGCGTTGGATGGTTTATCGGGTCGACTTGTGGTTTCGGCCAAGAGGAAGCTATCGCATGGCCTCCAGCAACCTGCTATCCCATCAGAGATCCAGTGCCCGGCTTAGGTTTCCTGGGTTCTACTGCAGAGAGAAGTCCCATCATTGGTTATCCCTTTGGATATCCCCTTCCAGTGGCAGGTAACGTTCTACATTGGACCATCCGGTAGGTGTTGGAGGAGCCGATTTTGACAGGTCTATTTGATTTCTGGGTTAAGTAGCTCCTCAATGGTTAACCGAAATGTGCGCGTTACACTTCGAAAGCAGCAGCGGACAATTGCATGGTCCGGTCGTAGGCATTCCGGGAGGAGCGGCAGGTAGTGGTCGACCACGCCACCAGTAACTGATGGGAATGTGGTCTATAATGGGTTTGAGTGTGATTCGTTGGTGGGCATCACGTTGTCAGGCAGTTTCCGCTATTCTTTAAACCGGTACTACAAACGAACAGTTTGTGATCGGCACACATGTGCAATAGGCGCTCTCCGTTGTTTGTGCTTTTCGCGTCCGACCCAAGACCATCCTTCAGTTGGGTCTCAGCAGTACTTAGCCTACCTACATGAGGGTTCGTGTCATCAGCAACCGCTTTTAACCCGTCGTTACGGAGAATAGCACCCATCTCGCTGGATGACGTCCCTCTATACGTAACACATGAAAAAAAGAAAAAGAGAAAGCGTTCAGCTGTAGCACCCTTCCGGTGCCTAGCTGCCATGCCACCCGAAGGAAGCACGAGGGCTGGGGTACTGCCAGGTTGCCCAAGCCTAGACAGGGGAAGTCGAGAAGCGGAGGTCGGATTCGAACCACGGACCTTCCGGTCAGTAAATTCGCGCTCTAACCACTTGGGTCATCTGGCCCCACGTAGCACATGACCGTCACCGCAGTCCATAGTCCTAGATGTTTCCGCGACTGGAGTGCCAACCGCACAACCAAATACCCGTTTTATTATTACTTCGGTACACGACTCTTGAGACCCAGTGATATGCCTTTTTGCCACCACAAGTGACGCGAATCAAATCATCAGACGTGTTTCCGGCTTTTGTGGCTTGTGCATGACTCCATCAGATACACTTCCGTCAGTGATAGTACATCTACCGACGTATGTGAAATTCTCCACAAACTCCAGTGCTTCTTGGATTGTAAGCGATGTTTTCAGAGACTGCACTTCGTAAAGCATGACTGCGCTCTGTAGGTGCAAGGCGCATGCTGAAAGATGGTATGACAGTAGTCAGTCTGTTCAACAGGGCTTGTGCGTCACTTTCGCCTTCGAAGTTGAAGGCGATGTCGTCTGCCTATTCCATAGTCCATTTGATCATCTAGGTCTTGAACTTCCAACGTTATTTTGCCGGGTGCAAGGCGCTGAAAGATGGTATGACAGTAGTCAGTCTGTTCAACAGGGCTTGTGCGTCACTTTCGCCTTCGAAGTTGAAGGCGATGTCGTCTGCCTATTCCATAGTCCATTTGATCATCTAGGTCTTGAACTTCCAACGTTATTTTGCCGATGATGAAGTCGAAGAAGGATAGAGGAAGTTGAGATATTTTCCGAACACCGTTTATTTTAGGAAAGCTTTTGGAGAGCTTACCATACACTCTCACCCTCCCAGAAGTATGTGAATATAGGAATCGGATTATGTTTACAAACTTCTGAAGCATACCCATTTAAGCAAGTGTGGTTAACAGCACTGACCAAGCGAGAGAATCGAGCGCACCCAGTAAGTCAAGGGACACCAAGATTGCGGATCGTCTTTACATCCGGCTGTACTCTAACACCTGATGGAGTGTGAAGTTATGGTCGACGCAGCCTTTGCGCGGTGTAAATCCCGCTTGATGCTCACGTGTCAAAGATAAGCGTGCCGCCGTGAGGTGATGAGCAATCAGTGACGCCAGAAGCTTCGTTACAACGGGAGTCAAACTGACGCCCTTATGGTTGCTACATTCTCTGCGGGCACACTTGAAAATGGGCATTATTATTGATTCACTCCAGTCGTCCGGGACGGTCTATTTCTCTCCGATAGACGAAAAGGGGCTAGACACACTAGCTGTGGAATCCATTGCAGTCCCCAAACAGAACAGGTAGAAGGTCGTCTGGAACAGGAGCATGATAATGCTTGAGTAAAGACACTTCTGAGGCTTAAGGGACTCCAAATTTACAGACCATATTTCTGTTAAAGGCTGATAGTCCGGATTGGAAACAGCAGGTGACCAACTGAATTGTTCCAGGTATTGTGCAAAAAGGCCCAACCGTCCTCCTTTGCTGGACGTCAAAGAGCCTTTTGTCCCCTGATGATTCCACTGATGAGAGGCTTCCGAGGACCAGTTGACCGACCTAGGTGGAAGGGCTTGCGGACGTTTGCAGTTTTTTCTCTTCTTCCGTTTCTTCGAGTTTTTGGGTCCAACAGGCTTCTCGGTTTTCATGGACACTCAATGTCGCGTGGCGTTGGATGGTTTATCGGGTCGACTTGTGGTTTCGGCCAAGAGGAAGCTATCGCATGGCCTCCAGCAACCTGCTATCCCATCAGAGATCCAGTGCCCGGCTTAGGTTTCCTGGGTTCTACTGCAGAGAGAAGTCCCATCATTGGTTATCCCTTTGGATATCCCCTTCCAGTGGCAGGTAACGTTCTACATTGGACCATCCGGTAGGTGTTGGAGGAGCCGATTTTGACAGGTCTATTTGATTTCTGGGTTAAGTAGCTCCTCAATGGTTAACCGAAATGTGCGCGTTACACTTCGAAAGCAGCAGCGGACAATTGCATGGTCCGGTCGTAGGCATTCCGGGAGGAGCGGCAGGTAGTGGTCGACCACGCCACCAGTAACTGATGGGAATGTGGTCTATAATGGGTTTGAGTGTGATTCGTTGGTGGGCATCACGTTGTCAGGCAGTTTCCGCTATTCTTTAAACCGGTACTACAAACGAACAGTTTGTGATCGGCACACATGTGCAATAGGCGCTCTCCGTTGTTTGTGCTTTTCGCGTCCGACCCAAGACCATCCTTCAGTTGGGTCTCAGCAGTACTTAGCCTACCTACATGAGGGTTCGTGTCATCAGCAACCGCTTTTAACCCGTCGTAAAAGGACACCCAGAGCACCAAAGAAACTGTCTTTAGCAGATTCAGCTACAGTTCTTCGGAAATTAAGCGGACCTAATTAGCAGGGATTGATGCACCTCAGTTTATTGAGATTCTTTCACGGACATTGCCAAACGAACCTCACAGAAGTGATTATCAAGTAGAGACGCTTCCGCGTGATGCCTCAACACAATATTCACCCCGGGGTATCCAGCTGCGGCATCATCAGAGATGCGCAGTTGGGATCTGGAAGTGAGCGAGGGGGCGATCATTTCAATGACAGCTCTTACGTCCTGTATCCTTGTCTCTGACGTACGCTAGCGCGGAGGGAATCTAGCTTACGAGCAAGAACCGCTTGTTATCATGCTTGTTTCAGTGTGGACCGGTAAAGGCAGTTAAGCAGACCGACTTTCGGGTTTGAAAGTAGACTTCAAGGCTTATGGTGTTTAATGGGGGGCGAGATGGTTCATTGGTTAAAGCGCAAATTTACTGACCGGAAGGTCTTTGGTTCGAACCCGACCTCTGTCTCTCGACTTCCCCAGTCCAGGCTTGGATAACCTGACAGCATCCCATCCTTCGTGCTTCCTTCTGGTGGCATGACAGCTGGGTGCCGAAAGACTGTTACATACAACCGGACGATTTTTTGGGTGTTTAGTGTTTTGGGTTGTCATTAAGGTCGGACGCACAGAGGCTGCAGCTAGGCGTGATGCTTGTCGGACAAAACGGTCAGTTCTACTTCTGGACATGCCGATTGGGTTCAAATTAGGGTGGGGTTTGGTAGAAGAGGGAATGCGGAAAATGTGCGAACGGAGACGTCAGCAGTGGTGTGTTTTCGTTTACCCGCTCTGCTGTATGCAACATTTAAGGCCATTGACGCCTCGTGATGGCCTACGTAACATGATACTATTTTTATTCGTGGAGTTCATGTTTGTGTGCAGCCTGTCAGGGTGCCCGTCTCTCCTCAAACAAAGCCTTTGTCTTAAAAGCCTGACCACAAGGCGGTGCTTGAGTGCCGGTATAGTACTACAGTTGTACAATTCTTCAAGCAATAAATCGTTCCTGTTCCAGCCCTCAACATGGAGGGCCAGGAGACCGTTTTTCAGACGCATATCCGTTGACCAACCTGGTGTGAGAAACTGCGGATGTCAAAATGAACCATCCCCTAGTATAGCTCAGTGGGTCATTTAGGTATACAAACCGCCACATCGACATAAGATCCTGTCTCTTGCAGCGGTACAGGGAAGCGTATGTTAAGCAAAGCCATCCAAGAAGTTGGATCACAAAACCGCCATCCATAACCTTAAGTCGAATACACAGCAGGTGAGTCACGTTCAGATTGTGATTTCCAAACCAGGCGTTTCCTCCCACTTACTTTCCTTAGGTTACCTGACTGATGATTGCTTATTTTTGTTGCTGCTGACTTACCTCCAGGTCACCCCGAGTTCTTTGTCTTTTCACCACTTTTCAGGTGCCGTTTGTTGTCCATGGCTACGGAAGCTACTTGACTCTTAGTGTTTTGGATCGAGACTATCGTCCGGATATGACAGTGGATCAGGCGGTTAATCTTTTGCGTTCGTGTGCCAAAGAGATACAGAAACGGTTTATCGTCAATCTGGATCGCTATTGCGTTCGCCTTGTGACCAAGGACGGAATATCTGCACTTCCGGACCTGACCAATCTTTCTGTGGTCACATGATTTTGCCATATTATTAAGTGCCACTGCTTGTTTTGCATCCAACTATTTCTTGAAAATGAAGGCCATGTTCTTTTCACACCGGGGTTCGCTGGTAGATCACTATTTTGGTAATCAGAGCCACACAAATGAGCATGAAATGAAGTGGGAGTAACCCTCTATAGTGAGCCATTAGTTAAATATAGCGCGTAAAATGCTACTAGAACTTCCGCGTTATCCTCCATCTTACTACTCGCGACTGAGTAGTATAGTGTGGTAAACTGCTGATTTCAAAATCAGGTTTTCAAATCTTTTTAGGGATACATGAGATACATATTGTGGAAAACACATGAGGATGAAGCAGCTGTGCTTTGCGGCTTTTCAGCGAAATTCCTAGGGTGAAAGTCTGCCTGGTAATTCATTAGCTTCCCATTTACTACAGATTACAAATGGTCAACTTTGTTTGGTGATGCAGTGACACTCCTCAGTGAGAGGTACTACCGTGAACACGATGTGTTCTTTCATCAGAGGACTCAGTAGTAGCCAGTCTATTTACACAGTCCACTCCCTCAAATGAAAGACGAGTGTTTAACCAGGGATTTATTGATTCGGAATCAAAAAGTTTGGAGATAGAACCCTCTCAAGCAGTTACTTGCGAGCAGTTTGAACTCATTTAGCCACCAAGCTTACAAAGATGAGCACACCACATGAGTCGAATAAGCACAGTCCTCCGCGTGTGCTTCTAGAGGGGATTTTGACATCAAGATTTTGTTTCCTATTCTTACCTCGTCAAACTTTTATTAACAAATTGATGGAGAACTGGGATACGTCGTCGTAGGTGAGAGGCTTCTTATCTCCAGAGCTCTGTTACTGGTATTCAGAATAGACGTTTGCTGCTCTTCAAAGGATACACCGGATTACCAAGCCGTAAACCGTGTTTCTAGTCTGCCTCTTCGTAGTTCAGCATAGGGTTTAGCAATACCTGTACATCCTTCATTGAACAAGCTATCCTAAGAAACATAACCAAGCGTTTCGAGTTCTTATTTCCCGCTGTTTGTTCCAGAAGCTCACATCCTTATGGCACGATGAATACTTACAAGTGCTAATGAGACTGACGAAAGAGGAGCCTTCTTATACTGTCGGTAGGGTGGCATGCTGATTTTTGACTACTTGCGAGTAGCGCGATCGAGACACGATAACCCGTTCTTTATCATGGCCTATACTTCTACAGGCTAAAATACAAAGAGAACCCAGAAGCTATCGGTTACTCTTTGCCACATGGATGAAGTTGAATTGGTAGTGCTTGCTGCTGCGGTGACATTTAGAGGTTGTATTTCGGAAGTTGCGTGCGCTCCGATTGTAATGTAACAGATGAGATCGGTGTGCTAACCTGAGACATCCATGGTGTCAAAGCGATATCCCTGAATCTCAAGCGACCTATATATCAGGCATCGGTCGAACCGATCATATCGCACAGGCGTTCGCACTTTCAACTTTCGGACGTGATAATTTGAGTGTGTCCGGCTTGCTGGTGGAGCAGTGGTACCTCGCTCACTTTACATCTTAGGTTCGGGTTTAAACTCCAGTACGGCCAGGGATATACACTGCTGATGATATCTAATTAGAGTGAAACTCAAATCCAGTGCTCCGCTACTTCTGTGTGGACTCATCAGAACAATTGCGCCAGGTCAGCAGGGGGACTGTCCAAACGAGAGTGATGTAACCCAGCACTGTGTGGACCATTTTATTACATGTTTATGGGGCTTGGCCTCTGAAGAGCGGAATTGCTCTGTTTCTAGATTTCCGATCACTGTTGTCTCGAAACCACAGCTTGAGTCCGCAGCGAGCCTACTAGAAAGCGAGTATTCGGTTGTGCAACAAGGATTTCAGTCTGAGAAAGCATCTAGCATCAGAAGCTATAGGGGTCTGGTAGTGTGTTGCGCGTTCTTAAAGGATTGCTGCATTCCACACCAGATTCAGAGTGGCGCATACCTTTGATGGATGTGAAGGTGAGTGCGGAGAATCCGGGTGCTATCGAAGCAACTCATCTTTGGGGATGAATTCTGCGTGGTCCTCTCCGTGTGTGGCTGGAGAGGTTGCAAGATATGGTTACTAGTCGACGTCCTTGCGGGCTTCTCGTGATGATTGTGGCAGTCAAGCACCAGTTTCCTCCATCCACTTTTATTGTTGCCTTCACAACAGACCTTTCCAGTAGATTATGACGGTCAGGCACCAGTGTGGGACACTGATGTACCGTCGATGATAGTGCTTACGGTTGACATTAAGTAATGTCCCACAACTATTTCGACGGGAAACCTGAGCGATGTTAACTTCTTCGGCCAGTAGCATCCGTTTTGCAAGCTGTTCGAGTCAACGACTCAGGCACAGAAATGGTGCGAGCACAATACTAACTACTCAGGCATAGTAATTTGCCATCATAGCCCTCGGCCATATAATCGCGAATGTGCTGTTTCTGGCTGTGGTTGAAGTGTGAAGTCAAGCAATAGCTTGATGTCATAGCCAACATGTTCACTCAGAAAGCAATGGCTCACCTGTTTGCTGTGTATTGACATGGTTATTTTCACTTACTACTTTTTGGTGACAAAACTCTGGCCATCCAACTGAGTATTGAGGGTTCTTTATCGCCTAGATAGTTGAGGTACGTTCGTTTTTTCGATACTGTAAGGATCAGAGTTGGGAATCTGTTGTAACTTGCTAAACGGTAGTGCAACTCTATCGGTCCCTTGCTTTCCTGCTCCGCCCACTACGGTATATCAAAAGGCACGGTAGCTCTACACGGCCCTTCATGGAGACAAAGAAAAATTATTACAACTGTATTTATAGGGTAGTCACAGAGTTTCACAAGGTCGTGCCAGAATCTCCGTGAGGGGACGAGAAGCGTCGAGTCAAAGGTGCTTGACTCGGATTGCGTGACATCCTCCAAATGCGGTGGTGTTTGGTTATTAGGGACGGCTGGCCTCCGTACAGAATCAGCTGACGATGTTCACCAACTGTTATCTGTGGTCTTTCACACTAATGGGATTGTGCTAAGTGTCTTATTTAGTAACTACATTGAGTTAGTCCTGCTACTTTCGTATTGTCGCTGGAATCTGACAACTGCCAGTGCTACGCAGTAAGCAGTAGAAGGATAAAACACTGACAAGTGTAGTTGCCTTCACGTTTTAGGGCTTCCCGGATCTTCTTGCTAGTGCTCAGTTTTGGCAATGTAGTAGACTGCGAAGAATCTCAGCTCCCACAAATAAGAAACCGCCAGGTCTTAGAATTGCTGAATTTTTCTTTGGGGTTTTCACCTCGATGATGTCGCATTCTGGGGCCAGGCTATTGGCTATTTGGCTTTTGCTTGCCAACATAAATTGCATCTGTTCTCGCTGTCACCGTTCTTATGTCGGTGAGTATAACTTATGCAATGGGATGTCTTTCCCAGTGATTATGCTCTAAAGTTGATTTATTAGCCTTGTGCAGTTAAAATGATATCGAACCTTACCGTGCTGTTGGAGCCGTTCGCTCTGTCTTACATCAAAATGTCGCCACTTTGCACCATGCTCGCGATTATAGTAGGAAACCATTTTCTGATTTGATAATGCCACATCCTTCTTTGGAGGCTTCAGAGGATCAAGATTGGTTCGAGGAGTGCGGTAGAGTAGTATCTCTGCAGGTGATTTGTCCTCTTTAGGCGTTGGAAGGACAGTTTACGGATGAGCAGCCCGGTGGACTTCTGGTAGGGGCGGATCACGGGGACCGGCGGTCCCAGGCCTGTAGTGATGGGGCTTCTTTTGCGCGCGAACTTCCCATCAGTACTCTTGCGGGCAGTTTGCTTGGTGCGTGCCATCTCTGTGAACAAATGTGAACTCCGTTCTTGGCCGGTACCACAAAATGCACGGCCGATGATACATGTGGACTATGCAGGTCCCGTGAACGGTCAAAATAGTCTCATTATCGTGGACGCTTGCAGCAAGTGGCCACAGATTTTTCCCATTAAGACAACGATGGCCACAACAACCACTAACAAGTTGCAGGAAGTCTTCAGTCGCTTCGGTCATCCTGAAAAGCTCGTATCTGACAACGGGACACAGTTCACGTCGTCCCCGCGGATTTGTCTTGCCAGTGGGATTGAACACGTTAGAGTGCCCCCATATCACCCACAATCAAACGGCATGGCAGAATGACTCGTGGATACTTTCAAAATATCTTTGCTTAGGGCGGAAGAGGAAGGAATCACGTTAAAATCCTACAACAATTCCTCTTAATGTACCACCTGACTCCAAATCCGCCCTCACCGGAAGAAATTTCCAAACCGCTCGCGTTCCATCTCTGCTTTCTACGTTTCTGGGAGATCAGGTCTCAACAGAAATGATGTCGGTGCCCCTCCAGTATATATTCGGGTAGTTGGGGAAGTAAATTGGGACCAAGCACAGACTGGCATAGTGCGCGCTACTACGCCGGATTTGCTTCGGTCGATTAGGAAAGTTCGTGAATATCTTGAAGAGCAAGTGCGTGAAGAACGTTGTTCCCTTATTGGCCAAAGTAAAAGGTTTGACTTGTTATCCCAGTTTGCTCGGCGTCAAGGTCAGTTAGATCAATAGAGCAGCTGACTCACACGTTCGTTGACTTTTCTGGTTTGGCTAAGCGCACCAGGCGATCAAGCGGCTATCCAGACCGGGGTTCACGGTAATAAGAAGGCATTAAGGGACTGTAGCCCACAACGCTGACTGATTTCCATTACAAGTTAAAACCTTACACAAAAGCGATTATCCACGTACCAGAGTTGTGTACGAATTATAGGCAGGTAATATTGCCGTTCGTCGAGCCTTTATTTCCAATAAATGTCGTAGCATAGTGGTTTCCAGCCTATTCCGCACTGTCCGTCTTTTTCAGTGTGGAGCGGGTCATCATTCCCCCGGGTTTTGCCGATTCGAGAAGGCTGCCCAGAGGTCGCAGTTATTAGTAACCCAGGTTACAGTTGCATTCCAGACGGGGGCACGACAATTTCACTCATCTTATGAGAGAGGTCAGTTATTGGGAAACGTTTAATAGCTGCATCATGGCTGGTTCTCGGAGGCGCTGACTTGTATCTAGAAGCACACAATGTATGCCTTTTACCATTTCAATTCGTACCATTTCTTCGAAGTAGATATACAAAGAAGGCATAACAGTCCGATTTAAATGG